GTAGATTTAGGCTAGACATCAGGAGGTGCTACTTCACGGTCAGGGTGGCTAGGATCTGGAACCAACTTCCAAGAGAAGTGGTGCTGGCTCCTATCCTGGGGGTCTTTAAGAGGAGACTAGATGACCACCTTGCTGGGGTCATTTGACCCCAGTACTCTTCCTGCCATGTCAGGGGGTCGGACTTGATGATCTGCTCAGGTCCCTTCTGACCTTACTAACTATGAAACTATGGTCAGTGATGCACTGTATGTGGGTCTTAATCTGTTTCTCTACATTATGGTCTTCAGTTTATGCACTGCGTAACTTGTTTCTTTCATCTCAGGAGAATGATACCTCTGTAAGATTAAAGATTGCTTCCTTGCTGGGCTTGCTATCAAAAACGGCAGGATTCTCTCCAGATTGCATTATGGATGATGCCATTAATGCGCTTCAAAATGAAAGTAAGTTGTACTTCTCAAATTGTGTTGGGGATCCAGTGAAAATCCTCTAATATTTATACATGTGAAATGGCATCAGGACTCCTACGTGAGCACAAAGAGCAGGAGTGTGTGAGTGAGGATTATTGTTGGATGGAAAACTTCCTCCTCCACTCCATCCTATTCTCTATTTCATAGATAGGGATGTTCAACAAATGTGACCTGTGGAACCACTGCATCTGGTCTGCAGGGCTTCCCACAGGCCAGGAAACTTGGCAGCAGAGGAGAAGTGGCCATTACTGTGGCCACCCTCCCAACCCCAAACTGTATGGCCTGGTTGGGGCTGGGCCAGATCCTCTCCCCCCTTGCAACTGGGTTGGGGCCCTGTTGCAACCACCCCGGCAGCTAAACTGGGACTACAGGCTAGATCTGGCCCATGGCTGGGTGGGGCACTGCACATCCAGCCCTCCAGCAAGAATCGTTGAGCACCACTGCTATAGATAGAGGAAAACCTTATTATCACGTTCTCAGGACAAGCAAACGATTCAGCACTACTTTCTTTTTATATAACTTCATGCTAGAGATGCAAATAGTAAGGGAGAGGTGTCTTTTGCTGTAACAGCACAGGGTGAGAGCCACTGTGTTCTCAAGGTTCACTTTTTAAGCAACAATCTTGTTTGTAAATAGAGTATTTTCTTACCTCGTTACAGAATAAAATATCAGAAATTAGTTGTCAAGTTACACAGGAGCGTCAGTCCACAACATTGTTCTGAGAATAGTGAACAAAGCCCAAATTATCCACTTAAGTAGCTATGAAAAATCTACTTAATTTTAAAAGGCTTCCATCTCCCTGGGGGTGCTAACTAAAAACCATAGAGGAAAGCTTTCAAAAAGCAAGAAACTGATTTGAGAGCACGAGTCCCATTGCCAATCATTGGGATTAAATAATTTGGAAAATTCCCCCGCTTCCCCCCAAATACATTAATAATTTGCGTCATGGAATTGAGTACATGCTTAGCAACTTCGCAGATGACACAATGTTGTGTTGAGTTGGAGGCACTGGAGGGTAGGGTTAGGGTCCAGAACCAGATGAGGTTTCAGCAAGAACAAATAATTGCATACATAAATATAAACAGGCATTCCTCAATCTAGGCTGTAGTAATACAGGGAAGGACCTGGGATTACAGCAGAACATAAGTCGAATATGAGACAACCGTGCTTTTGTTGCAAAAAGACCAACAGTATACGGGGTCATATTGCAAGAGTTGCTTGCAAATCAAAGGAAGTGATTATTTCATTCTGTTCAGCCCTGCTAAGGCCTCGCTTGCAGTACTGTGTCCAGATTTGGACCCCATACTTTAAGTTTGGAAAGAGTCCAGAGAAGAGTGACAAAAATGACTAGAGGCCTGGGAAGCAAGACATATACAAGGAAAACTTGAAAAACTAGGGTTATTTAGTCTGAAGAAGAGAAAATTGAGGGGGGATTTGATAACAGTCTTCAAATACATGAAGTGCAATTATAGAGGGAATAGAGATGGGCTTTTCTCTGTGGCTATAGGGGACAGGAATATGAGCAACAGCCTCAAGCTGCAGTGGAGGAAATGTACATTAGCGATTAGGAGGACCTTTCTGAATATAAAGGTGGTCAAGCATTAGAACAAGCAACCTAGAGAAGTTGTAGAATCTCCATCCCTAGAAGTTTTTAAGAGTAGGTTGGGCAGACACTTGGCTGGGATGATTTTAGTCGTTTGCCTTGAGCAGGGGGCTGGACTAGATGACTTTGTGAGGTCCCTTCCAGTCCTACTTGCCTTGATCCTGTCATTTTAAGAGATCATCTTTAATGTAAATACACTCCAGTGTATTTGCTTTACTTGCAAATAAGTAAGTTTAATACTTACTTGCAAATATATATATACATAAGTATAGTACTTACTTGCCCAGCTGGGCAGAGCTTTCCCCTTATTTGCAAGTAAGTAAAATACTTGCAAATCTCTCCAAACTTATGAGTTCAGTGGATATGGGAGCCTTTCATGGTTTTGTTTTACAGAGTCCCACCAAGTTCTTGCTCAGCTGCTGGACACGCTGCTGGTGATTGGAACTAAACTCACAGAGAATGCAGCTGTCAGAATGAGACTGGTAGATGTAGCCTGCAAGGTAATATAATCTTACTAGTAGTAGTAAACATGCAGTAAAGTCAAAATTCTGCATCTTTATATTGATACAACTCCTGTTGCGATCACAGGAAGTTGCAAGCAACTTATTTTGTTTAGTATCTTCATCAACAACCTGGAAGATGGTATAGAGTGTACCCTCAGCGAGTTTACAGATGACACCAAGCTTGGGGGAGTAGTAAATACACTGGAGGGTAGGGCTAGGATTCAGAGTGACCTAGACAAATTGGAGGATTGGGCCAAAAGAAATCTCATGAAGTTCAACAAAAACAAGTGCAAAGTCCTGCACTTAGGACGGAACAATCTCATGCACTGGTAGAGGCTGGGGGCTGACTGGCTGGGCAGCAGCTCTGCAGAAAAGGACCTGGGGGTTACAGTGGGCAATAAGATGAATATAAGCCAACAATGTGTCCTTGTTGCCAAGAAGGCTAATGGCATCCTGGGCTGCATTGGTAGGTGTGTCACCAGTAGGTCAAGGGAAGTGATTATTCTGCTCTATTCTGCATTGGAGAGGCCACATCTGCGTTCAGTTTTGGGCCCCCCACTACAGAAAGGATGTGCGCAAATTGGAGAGAATCCAGTGGAGGGCAGTGAAAATGGTGAGGGGACCAGGGCACATGACTTGTGAGGAGAGGCTGAGGGATATGGGCTTATTTAGTCTGGAGAAGAAAAGATTGAGGGAATTTAATAGCAGCCTTCAACTACCTGAAGAGGGGTTCAAAAGAGGATGGAGCTGGACTGTTCTCAGTGGTGGCAGATGACAGAGGAGCAACAGTCTCGGGTTGCAGCAAGGGAAGTTTAGGTTAGATATTAGGAAGATTTTTCTCATGAGCAGGATAGTAAAACACTGGAATAGGTTACCCAGAGGTTGTCAACTTTCCGTCCTTGGAGGTTTTTAAGACCTGGCTAGACAAAGCCTTGGCTGGAATGATCTGGTTGGGGTCCCTTCCAACCCTAATTTTTTATGATTTGGAAGGGGAAGTTGACCCTAAATTTAATCATCTGCAACTTTGGACATCTTGCAATGGTGATTTAAAAAAAAAGAGTACACCAAAATGTCACAATACGAATAATGTGATGATGCAAGTCCCAAATCGCAGATATGTGACCTTAATCTACAGACTTATGTTCACATATAATAGTTTTTTGGTTGTTTATTTTTAAACTTTCCACCTCCAGACACGTGTGCATCTCTCAGGGTACTTTTACAAAAATTGTTAAGCTTATCCCTGTAGGAGGCTAGTTTAGGTGAAGTATGAAGTGCCCAAGTGGTGGAAACATTTTAACTTTTTTTTCCCCAGAGACCTACAGTTCATGCTGTTGATGATAGATCCAGATCGCCAAAGTTTAGGGCTGCCTCTTTATTTCAAAAAGGTTAGGGAAGCACTGATAAAGATTCTTTTGGCCAATTATTAACCAGCCATATTGGCTGATACTGATCTGATTGTTGATTTGCAGCCCAGCAGCTTGGAGAGCAACGGCCAGCTGGTAAGTCTGGTGGTGGGGCAGATTAAGGTCCCCACTGTGAAGGAGGGAGTGGGGCAGGAGCAGGCGCTGCCTGGATAGGGTGCAGGATGGTGCTGCGGGTGGATTGTCCAGTGGGTGGGGAGGGGATGCTGCAGGGTGGGCAGCTCCTGCTGCTGCGTGTCCCCAGGGGAGGTATGGAGAGCATGTGCCGCCCCCCCGGATTTATGCACAGGGTGAGGGCGGGCAGAGCCTGCCTCTGCCTCAGCCACACTCCCTCTCTCACCACAGAGGCCTCAGTCTTCTTGCCTCCCCCCATCCCCTTCCCCCACGCCTCTTCTTCCCACAGACTTACCGGCCAGATGCTGCTCTCCAAGCTGCCAGACTGCATTCCTGACTGGGCGCGTGCTGCAGCTGGGCGCATTCACACAGCATTTATTAGTGGCAATTATCAGCTACACTGGCCAAAAAAAGCTGATTGCTGATAATATCAATTTTTTCCTTTATTGATGCCAATCCAATATGGACCATGATAGTTTCATAGTGCTTAGGGTCGGAAGTAACCTAAACAGATCATTAGGTCCAACCGCCGTCCTAGGCAGGAACGAGTGCTGGGCTTATAACACCCCAGTTAAATATCTATCTAGCCTTCTCTTGAAGACCCCCAAAGTAGGAGAGAGCACACCTCCCTTGGAAGTCCATTCCAGAGCCTGGCAGCCCTAACCATAAAGTAAATTAAAACAGCTCCTGGAAATGGGGGTCCAGCTGGGAGTCTGGGCGCACACCCAGGCTTGAACTTGCAACTGTTTGGCCCCAGGGTCAGCACACACCCCACTAGGCCAGATGTCAGTGCACCTCTACAAAAAGGGTATAAGAAATGAATAAATGCAAAGTTCATACATACTCTTTACTGACATTAATTTGCATCACTGGTGGAGCATTCCTTTGCAAACTTTTTTATTTAAGTTTGTCTAATTTTTCTCTGTTTACTTTGAAAAATCAAACCTTGACCATACTCAACAATTGTTACAACTGTATCCTTGAAGTACACTCTATGGGGAATAGGCCACCTTGAATAAAAATCAGAGTGAACTGTTGCATATTATTTTTCATTATAAAGATTAACGAGTCATTGAGCTGTTTCTTTTAGTTATGTTTTAAAATATGCCTTTTAATACTTGTCTTGCTATGAATCCTCTCTTGAAATATTTTGTGGGGGAGGATATCTAAGAGGAAATAGTATTGTAATAAAAGATTTTTTTAAATAATGCATTAATGGGATTTAATAATGGTATATTTCATTGATATGGAAGATTGGCAAAATAGTGCCTAATTATGTTTACTGCTTGAGAATTTATCTCTGGAGGATTTTCTCTTTGAATATTCTATTAGGGTACTAGCTATATCTGCAATGGTTTCATCTCTGTCTTGTCCTGAGTCAACTGGAGTTTTAAGTGAATTTGTTGCAAGATGCAAATTCTTGTTAGCGCTAATAAACTTGAAAATATATTTTAAGATAAATTATGGTAACATAAACTCAGAGACTGATAGGGTGTGACTACAGGCTGGGAACTAGGCAATCTGTTGGGAATAAAAGTGTCAGTCTAATGTGGGGATGATATTTGTATGTGTCGAGTATCATTGCTGCATGAGTAGTTGCTCATTTGGCGTGTGCTGCTTGAGCAGGATTTTGCAGGCATAACTGGGATACTTGTTTTAAAAATATTGCTATGTGAGTCTGTTTTAACTCTTGAAGAAAGCAACTCTCTAGGCAGACAATGTAGTTTTTTTGTTTAAATTTATGTACAGAAGTTTTATGTCCAATAACACTTTCTCTGCATAGTTGGAGGAGGCATTTAGGAAAAACTGCTAAGGATCCAATATTTGCAGGGAAGTTACTGGAGTACTGCATCCAGTTTTGGGCTCCACAACTCAAAAATGATGTGGAGAAGCTTGAGAGAGTCCAGAGAAGAGCCACGCGCATGATAAGAGGTCAGGAAAACAGACCTTATGACAAGAGGCTGAGAGCCATGGGACTCTTCAGCCTGGAAAAGCGCAGGCTCGGTGATCTGGTGGCTACCTATAAGTTTATCAGGGGTGACCACCAGTATCTGGGGGAGAAATCTGGATTTATTTATTTATTTATTTATTTTGCTGGGATCCTATGACCCCTCCTGACTTCGTGCCCCTGGGGTAGGGGGCTGGACTCGATGACTTTCCAAGGTCCTTTCCAGCCCTAATATCTGTGAAATCTTCCGACCCCCATCTCAAACCCCCCCCCCCCCCCC